ATTATTATTATTATAATTATAAATTATAATTAAAATTGAAAATAGTGGACATTATTTTAAAATCTGCTTAAATTCGCTTGAAACTTGTTATTCGAGGGTTTTCGTGGGTCACCATTTTGAATTTTTTAAATCTAACTTCAGATTCGTGATCAGCGACCCCGAAAACCCCCCAGTAACAAGTTTTATGTAAATTTGAGAAATTTTGAAAAAAAATGTCCGCCATATTGGATCTGCCATTTTGAATTTTCAAAGTTTTGAAAATCTGATTTCAGATTCGTAATCAGCAACCCCAAACACCCCTGAGTAACAAGTTACTATTTGAATTTTCGCGCCATTCCCAGGTGACGCTGTAGTTTTCAATTTTACAAGTTTGGCACACCTGATGTATACTTTTCATGGATGGAGAGTTTCTAACCTAAAAATTTCTTTAAGGAGAGAACACAATAACGTGAACGTGAACGCGAATGTATGACGTCACCCATTTGAATAACATTATGACTTCATACGTTGGACTTCCGTTTTGCATGTCGAGCGGGAGACACGTTTATTTTCTGAGTTTTGTTATAGTGTTAATTGAATTGAAATAAATTAAACAAATTGAATTGTGAATGATAAAATATCTTCGTAGGATTGTAATAAAATACAATAAGTGTATTTAGCGAGGAATAAATTCCTTAACAAATTATCTCGAGAGAAATAAGCTCTCGTTCTCCAATTAGATCCAACATAACCTCAATTTGCCACGAGGGAACGCCGAAATTCGAGATTCGAGTCGATTGGCTTTATAATATGATGGATTTGTTCAATCAATAAGAGTTATAATAAATAACATAAGGACCTAAACTACAAGACTACAGTTATACAACAAAAGGTTAAACTACAATTACCTTCTTACTATTCTCATTACTTAACAAGCAATAGTTACTGTCTTCCAGCCTTTTTTATTCCAATCTTGTCACGATAAAACACACAATTTAATAATTCAATTTTTGTTTAAGTCTGTTTTGTTTGTTTGTGATTGTTGTTTTAAGGATGACACAGTAAATTACATCGGACTGTGGCGGTCGGTTAAGTATACGTACTGTTTTCCCTTTATATACTTAATTGTTTTTTCATAAGCATTTTTTTAAAATATGAAGAAGACACATACCTGATTGAGTTGTGTTTGGTGTCGACCTGTCTGAGAGCTGAGGTAAAGCAAAATAAATTTTTCTGTCCCTAATTACGTTCTTGTTTATATAAATAACCAATTTTTATCTTCGAAACTTATATATATATATAGTTTATCTTTATTCTGTATAACTGAATATCTTAGCTGTTTTTAATTAAATTTACTCTCAACAGGTTTTAATGTCAAACCTACCTGCCTATCCGGGCGGAGTGCTCACCATAGGCGGAAGGAGCGAGGATTCGGAACGCGATCTGCAAGAGAAATTGTCGTATTCTTTGGTGCCGGTTGATGGCGGCGATGTCCATGATGAACGTACTGGCTCCCCTGAACCAACGACTAGTCAAGCATTCGTCACCTCTACTCTACTCTACTTCCTCGTTTATGAGGAATATGATCTGGGATGACATAGTACTAATACTATGTCTCTTTACAATGCTTCTAGTTCATCCCCTTTTGTTGTTTTTGTTGAAAGTACGGTGTCGGGCTTCAACCTCGGCAAGCTTGACCCAATCAAGGTTATAGATCTTCTTTCTCCGCATATTACCGGAGGCAAACGGGTCTCGAGATCTGGTATTAATCAAATTAAGGTGGAGTGTGAGCGCTTCCAGAGTGCAAATGATCTTGTCACCTCGGTTGCCCTTAAGAATGATGGTTTCAGGATGTTCATTCCTGATACTTACTTACACAAACGAGGCTTCACTGATTGGTTTCCTCCGGAGCGCTCGGTCAGGGATATTGTCAGGGCCTGTACACCCGATGAATTAAAAGATATATCATGCATTAAGAGGTTGGTTCGTCCTCCTAATATAGTCACTGAAAGAATTGAGTTTTCTTTTGTTAGTCTTACAGTACCTAGATTCATAACAATTGGAGGATTCTCAATTCAGATAACTCCAGTTATACAAAGACCTCGCAAATGTTATAGGTGCCAGAGGTTCTGTCATACCAAAAACCAGTGCAGATCCACATATCCTTCGTGTGAGCACTGCTCAGGCAGACACATGACAAATTTATGCCCCTATAAAGATCTTCCACCTTTATGCAAGAATTGCAAAAGAGAACATACGGCCTCATCAAACTTTTGCCCCATCTTTAAGATGGAATTCGGTATTTTAAAGATCAGATATACAACAAACTGTAGTCGCTCCGAGGCGAAGGAGATGTTTTTTGCTGAAAATCCGGACCTTGAGGGGATCATCCATTCAAGGAATGACTCCTACATAGTCCCACCACAGCCTGCTGATGGCCCTTCTGCGCCTGCACTCATACACGACACTGTACACAGTGCTGATTTGAGGGGAGATAAAACAATACCAACCACTTCGCAACGGAAGGGCTCAAAACAGTCCACTCTTAAATTAACACTTCCCCCTCATACCTCGGAACAAATTATCGCTGTTAACTCTTTGATTTCGCTGAATAAGTCCAATTCTGAACTGTTAGGTTCGCTACAGGAAAATTTGGCCTCTACAGTCTCCCGGCTAAAGTCACTTGAGGAGGAACTAAATGAATTCCTGGATCATTGAGGACTGGTGTGAGATGATCGCCAGCCTTGATGCATTTATAGGGTACAGACACATCTGTTTACGAACTAATTTTTGTCTATATTCAAATAATTTGTTTAATAATTTGCTATTGTTATATTATATGTTTATATTCAATCTCTGTTATTATGTTCCTGATTTTTGTTGTATAATTTTTCTAAGTTTATACTTAACCCTGGTCAGTCTTGTCTTACACAGGAATACCTGTGATTAACTCCCTCCCTTATTAAAATTCGAGAGCGGAGTTTCTCGTTAATGGAATGAAGGGCTAGAATCCCGACTGCCACAATTGTCTCTTATTTGAATTGTATTACTTTTAAGTAAAAATCCTTAAAATTAAAATTATATTATTATCTAGGAAAACTATTGGGAAGGGCCATTTCGTTTTACCCCTCCTAAAACTAATTAGTCTTAAGTTGCACTATTATATTTAAGTCGTTATTGTTGTATTCTTGTTCTATTGTTCGTTAAGGCTCGATTATCGTGCTAACATTTTTTCAAGTTGAAACAGATATAAACTGTTCCAAAACTAGGCCATAATTACCTCGTTTACTTATTTGTTTATTTATCTATAAATCTTTGCCTTTGCACATTCTGTGGTTATCATTCGGAATTGTTTAGCCCATACTTACAAGAAACTATATAATTACATATACTAAATTTAATTCTTTTTATTTACTTATTTATTTTTTCTTTCCCATTAATGTTAATAATATGACCTCTGTTACTAATCTTGGGCGTCTGCGATACGGCAACTGGAATGCCCACAGTGTTCTCAATAAAAAACCAGAAATAGAATCACTACTACACATACACAACCTGGACATACTAATAATTACAGAAACATGGCTCACGAATCGAAACCCTGTATGGCAAATCAGAGATTACCTCACTTTCCGATGTGATCGAAAAAGTGATCGTCCGGGGGGAGGGGTGATGATTTTGGTTAGAAAAAATTTAGTTGTTTCCCCTATCTCAATCTCAAACCTCACACAAAGACACCTCGACTGTGTGGGAATAAACATAACTACAGCACAACACAAAGTTCAATTTCTGGGAGTATACGCCCCCCCCAATATTAAAATACCTATGAAGCAATGGACTGATCTCATCAAGAATTGCTCCTTGCCACACCCGATTATTCTCATCGGAGACTTTAATGCACACTCATGGGCCTGGGGCTCCCCCTACTGTAATCAGAGGGGCAATGATCTCAATCAACTGATTGATGATTATGAACTGGTCCCACTGAACGACACTCTTCCAACATACATGGGTGGGGATGGAAGGAGTAGCAGTAATATAGACTTAGTTTTCGTATCAGCCCGAATATGTCAATTTTCGCGTGTAGAAGTAGTTGAGGAGACATATTCCTCTGATCACTGTCTGGTTGTAGCAGACCTGGACTTGACCCCTAAATTCACAAAATCATCCACCAATAGACTTAATCTTAAAAAGGTGGATTGGATAGAATTCTGCACTCGAATTGATTCTTACATCGATACCCTTGATTCTAATCTTAAAGAAAATAACCAACCTCTTGAAACTTATAAGTTGTTCACTGATAATATAATACAAAGCTTGATGGACTCTGGGGCCTACTTTCCTTCGCATCTGAGAGGGTTGCGCAAATCTCAACCTTTATGGTGGGATGAGGAGTGCGACCAGGCTCTGGTGCGGAGGAGAGATGCCAGAAAGGAGTTCATCCGGATGCAGACGAACTCTAATAGAGCTAGGTTTAATGAAATAGACAATGAAGTCAAGTGGTTTCTGCGAAATAAAAAGAAAACTGCATACGTTGAATTTTGTAATAAAATCAATCCTGCAATGGGTATGAATCATATCTGGGCCAGGGTAAAAGCTTTTGCTACGGCTTCTCAGCCTCTACGAACAGGTATCACTAATGACCCTGACTCCGAAGTTTTTCATAAATCACAAAAGGACCTAGTGCAGGAGGAAGTTCGACCAACTTTACTCCCTTTCCTCACAGATTTTTGTAGCGGTTCTGAGATCAACAGCCCTTTTTCTGAAAATGAATTTTATAATGCACTAAATAGCATAAAAAAAACACTTCACCTGGTTTAGATACTATAACATACTTTATACTTAAAAAACTCCCTGCTAAAGCTAAACAATTCTTATTAACACTTTTTAACATCTTTTTTATGGAATTAACTTTTCCCGAAACATGGAGAGATACCAGAGTGGTCTTCCTACCCAAACCACTAGGGAAGGGTTATCGACCAATCTCTCTCACCTCAAATATTTGCAAACTCTACGAAAAAATGGTCCAAAAAAGACTGGAGCATCATGTCGAGTACGTTGATGGGATACCGATGAATCAGTTTGGATTCAGGAGGGGAAGATCGACGTCTGATTGTGTTTCTGTTTTTGTTTCTGACGTAACTAGGGGTTTCGTTAGCCGCGAACATACTCTCGCACTTGCGGTTGATTTGAAGGGAGCATTTTCCAATATCCTTCCCCAATCCATTTATAACAGATTGATAGAATTGAAAGTCTCAGCTAGAATCATTAATTTTATCTCATTTATAACTACAGTCAAACATCTATTTTTCAATGCTGAGAGCAAAGAATTTAGAGATTCCTATATAGGTGTTCCACAGGGTGGTGTTTTGTCTCCGCTACTGTTTAATTTGTCACTGAGCAGGATTGGTGAGGTCATGCCTGGTGTGGTCAAGTGGCTGATGTTTGCCGATGATTTGCTCCTTGACATCACATCTAAGGACCTGCAGTCTTCCCTTCGCCTTTTGGAGAAAGCAATTACGGACTTGACTCCCTGGCTGGCCGAAGTCGGCTTATCTATATCCCCGGGGAAGTCCCAGTTGACCATCTTTTCAAGGGCAAACGAGAACTTTGAGAACTGCTTCATTAAGATAGAGGATACTGTAGTCTCAGCACAGACAGATATGACCTATCTGGGTATTATATTGGACAAGAAACTCACCTGGCAAAAACACATTAGGGAAATCTCACAAAAAGCAACAAAAACACTTAACCTGATCAAGTCAATGACCAGGATTTCCTGGGGGGCTAATCCTTCATCCATGCTAACAGTGTTAAAGAGCCTAACTCGCTCACATCTTGAATGGGGTAGTCAATTTTTTGCCGATTCGGCTCAGTGCAATCTGGGGCCATTGGACCGGATCCAAAATCAATCTCTACGAATTATCCTTGGCTGCATGAAATCAACGCCCATTAGTATACTCTTGTCTGAGTCTAATATTTCTCCGCTATCCATTCGTAGAACCCTGATCAACAGACGTCATATGATTCGTAATTTGTCTTGGACATTGAATCCACTTTCTACCAGCCTGCATTGTTTGCAGGATAGAATTGGGATAAATGTTCTTGTTCCTAACCCCTCTTCAGGAATTCGTTCGTCATTGCTGGTGTCGTTTGGGGATGTATCACAAATCATGAGTAAATGTGGCAGAACCAAAAAGCCCTCCCTTCAGTACGAGATGTCCTGGGATGAGCTCACTAGACACGTTGAGGTGGACCTCCAATCTGGTCTGGAAATTAAATCGCACTCCTCCCCACCACAAGCATTTTCCGAACTCCTCCAAACTAAATATGAAAACTACATAGATATTTATAACGATGGATCGCATGATCCAGTCAAGAGTTCTTCGGGTGCTAGTTTTGTGATACCAAAACTAAATATAAACTTTAGCGTTCGTCTGAGTGGCCTTATGTTGATTGATTCATGCGAACTTTATGCTATTCTTTCAGCTGTAAAGGAGGCTGTTCGACTGAATCTTGATAATGTATTAATTATTTCCGACTCACAAAATGCTTTAAACGAAATCAAACACCGTATGTCTAATTCTTTGCCCCATCCTCTACTTAAGAGAATTATAACTGGAATCATTACCCTGATAGATAGAGGTAGTGGAGTTTCGCTTGTTTGGATCCCCTCTCATTCGGGTATTCGGGGAAATGAGCTTGCTGATGGTTGGGCTCGGAACGCCCTCTCCCTCCCTTTCGGTAATCTCCAGGGTGGCCCTCCACGTGATCTCCTTCAGATGATTAATAAGGATTACGAACACTGGCTGAATCTCTCCTGGCCTTATTCCTTTACCACTCCCCTAACAAATAAATACTTCAACTATATCACGGTCAAAACAAAAAGGCCTTGGTTCAGGGGTGTCGAGTCATCAAGGAGAAATATTAATACTATCACACGACTACGTACGTCGCACGTCTGCACGGGAGAGCACTTCGCACGGATGAGATGGACTTTGCCCTTGGAATGCTCTTGTGGTAACAATTTTAAAACTCTAAAACACTTATTTAAAGATTGTCCTCTGCTCTCTACCCAGAGACCGGCATTAAATACATTTCTAACAAGGAAACTTCCACATTTCGACTTTGATGAGTTTGATATTAGTCAGTTGATTTTTAACCCTGACCTTGAAATAACAACTAATATTGGTAAATTTTTTTCGGGCGGTAACACGATTTTGTGAGGATATGTAAATTACTTGAGCTTCCTAATAAGTCAAATACGCAACTAAACGCGGACTTTCTGAGCGGGCTTATATCTTAAATTGAGTTGTATCCCATATGTAATAAATATTCCTTCCTTCCTTATAAAATGGCAGCCTAGCAATACTCGTCACACCAACAATTGCTGACATTATACACGAGAAAACACTCGACTTATCTCGTATGGAAATTAATTCAACTACGAGGACAACTTTAAAATAGGAAAATTATCGATAAAATTCGCTTATATAATTATTTAATAGTACTGGCTATTTGTCTATACAAGAGGCCATTAAAACAAAAGAAGAAGAAGAAGAAGACTTCATACGTTCGCGTACACGTTCGCGTTCCCATGGATTGAGACGCATGCATATCCTCTAATCGCCAAGTCGTCGAATGATCAAATAGTCGAATGCCAAGTAATCGAATGGACAAAACGTCGAATGCTAAAAACATCGAATCGGCATTTAGTCGAATGCTAAAAACATCGAATCGGCATTTAGTCGAATGCTAAAAACATCGAATTGTCAATACGTCGAATGTTCAAAACGTCGAATTATCAATTCGTCGAATGTTAAAAACATCGAATCGTCAATACGACGAATGTTCAAAACGTCGAATTATCAATTCGTCGAATGTTAAAAACATCGCATGATAAAAACGTCGAATGCTAAAAACATCGAATGGCCAAAACATCGAATGCTAAAAACATCGAATCCTCATTTAATCAAATGCTAAAAACATCGAATTCTCAATTCGTCGAATGTTCAAAACGTCGAATGATAGAAACGTCAAATGCTAAAAATGTCGAATGTTCAAAACGTCGAATACTCGAAACATCGAATCGTCATTTAGTCGAATGCTAAAAACATCGAATTGTCAATACGTCGAATGTTCAAAACGCCGAATGATAAAAACGTCGAATGCTAAAAACATCGAATCGTCATTTAGTCGAATGATAAAAACATCAAATCGTCAATTCTTCGAATGCTAAAAACATCGAATTGTTAATTCATCGAATGCTTAAATCATCGAATTTTCCATTCGTCGAATGCTAAAAACGTCGAATGTTCAAAACGTCGAATCGTCATTTAGTCGAATGGTAAAACCATCGAATAGTCCATTCGTCGAATGCTCAAATAGTCGAAACGCCATCTGTTCGAAATGTCAAGTAGTAGAATGGTAAAGTAGTCGAAACGCCATCTGTTCTAATTGCCAAGTAGTAGAATGGTAAAGTAGTCGAATATTCATAACATCCAATGATAAAAACGCCGAATGCTCAGAACATCGAACTGTCAATTCGTCGAATGATAAAAACGTCGAATGCTAAAAACATCGAATCGTCAAAAGTTCGAAAAAGTTCTTTGTTTTCAGTAGACATTAACTTAAAACAATGAACTTTTGACGATTCGATGTTTTTAGCATTCGACGTTTTTATCATTCAACGTTTTGAGCATTCGACGAATTGACAGTTCGATGTTCTGAGCATTCGACGTTTTTATCATTCGACTTTTTGTCCATTCGATTACTTTACCATTCTACTACTTGGCAATTCGAACAGATGACGATTCGACGTTTTGAACATTCGACAACTTTACTATTCTTCTACTTGATAATTCGAACAGATGGCGTTTCGACTATTTGAGCATTCTACGAATGGACTATTCGATGGTTTTACCATTCGACTAAATGACGATTCGACGTTTTGAGCATTCGACGTTTTGAACATTTGACGTTTTGAGCATTCGACGAATTGACAGTTCGACGTTTTGAACATTCGACGTATTGACAATTCGATGTTTTTAGCATTCGACTAAATGCTGATTCGATGTTTTTAGCATTCGACGTTTTGTCCATTCCATTACTTAGCATTCGACTATTTGATCATTCGACGATTTGGCGATTAGGGGAAATGCATGCGTCTCCATGGATTGTGTTCTCTGAACGCGTCCATTGTCGGTTCTACAATGGGCCCGTCAGACGACTACGTCCGACGTGCCCATTCCTGTGCAGAAAATTCCTTTTTGTTGTAGAAGCTATTAACAATGAAAGGCAATCATTATTTTAGTTATTTAATAATTTTTTTATTTTAGGGGTTTGACTAGAATTCTTAGCCAGAACCCCAGGTAGGGTGTTCATTAGATTTTAGATTGGGTACTGATCAGGGCCTCGACAGTTTTCCTTGTTTAAATAAAGTGTAAAAAATTAAATCTCTAAAATTACTTTTAATAAAAAATAATGAACAATTGAAGAATACAATTAAAGGGAGTAATTATACTATCGTTTTAATAATATTTTTTTTTTATTTTGTGGGTTTGACCAGAATTTCTGGCCAAAACCCCAAGTGAGGTGTTCACTAGATATTAAATAGAGCTCTGATCAGGGCCTCGACAGTTTTCCTCGTTTGAATAAAGTGTAAATGAATTAAGTTTTTTAAATTAGTTCCCATAATAAAATTATAAACAATTGAAGAAATTAATTAAACGGAGTAATTATACTACATTTTTAAGAATTTTTTTATCTTATGGGTTTGACCAGAAATTCTGGCCAAAATCCTAAGTGGGGTTTTCACTAGATATGAAATAGGGCTCTGATCAGGGCCTCGACAGTTTTCCTCGTTTTAAAAGCATATAAATAAATTTAATTTTTTAAAATTAACTTTTTTAAAACAGATATTTAAGTTAAAAAAGCGTGTTCTTTTAAAACACTTTATAAAATAATTATGGTAATATATTTAAAAAACGAAAATACACTGGGGTCAAAAAGTTTAAGTACATTTGTACTGATTACTGTTAAGTGCTCGTTTCTCTTAAAATTTAAATTTTTCTGTAAAAATAGATGTAAGAGCTATCAAAGTAGGATCATTTTAAAGTTCAATAAATTTAGAATCAAATAGGATAAGATATAACCAATTTAATAGTAAAACGTTTCCTCTCTGCCCTTTGGCGGGGAATGTTCCACAGGCATGATTGGAAACCAAAAGAGAGGGTAATTAAAGAAAATAAAGTAAATTATAATTAAACAATCAAATCACTTTATTAACAGATCTAAACTTTCAGAAGAAATCGTTAATTATCGCGATATGATGCTCTCAATATTCGAACTCGGATTAGAAGATTCTTTGAATAATTATGTGATCAATTGACAAACTCTATCGAGAATAAATAATAATACACATCAACATTCACATTCAATGGAGGGGATTAGGCCATTAATCCTTAATCCTCATTCATTACCCGAACATACAAACACATACAAATTATAACATCGACTTATCATAAAATCCTCCGTGGAACTGCAACCTGCGTTGTCCTCCTTGATGATTAATCCAAGATCCAGATCTCTTTATTTTAGGTAGATCAAATAACTCGTAATCCAGAGTGTAGGCGTCCCCACACTCAGTCATCCAGTAATTCACAAGACACAGAGACTATTTTACTTTAAAAGACAGTATTGTCGACAGTATACTTCTCGCTGGTCCGACTGACCAAAAGCGACTAATCATACCTCTATATTTTATTATCTCCGATCCATTCCTATGACTCATCAGCACCGAGGTAAATACGAATATTTCCCTCGTTATACCATTACATAATCCCCCTTTGGGATATTGGATGCAAGACAATATCTCAAACTGCCCCGAAGATTCTTCTACAACTCCTCCATAAGCACCTGCCCCGATTCGTGTCACTCTTCTTGGATTGATATCTGCTCTTCAAGTCCTACTTAATTCAGACTCTACTTCAGATTCGCCTCCCATAGTTCCCATGTGGTCTCTCTCATACTATTTGAGCCCTACTTAATTCAGACTCTTCTGTAAACTGAGACTATTGTTCATTAGATGACTCTTCTCAACTCTATTTTCTTCAGATTTGACATCCGATTTTGATGCTTCTGCTCCACATGGATCACCATTATTCAAGCCCTCCTTAATTCACGACAAACCCCAAAAATTTGACTTCCTCCTTGCACCAATTTGATTTCTTCAAACTTAGCGTTAGCCCTGATTTTTTAACCCTCGTGAAAAATCTATCTAAATTGTCCAAATGTTCGTCAAATGTTTTAGAGGCCACCAAAATATCGTCCACGTAAATTGCCATAAAATCAAGAAATTCATTATCCATAATTGAATTAATTGCTCGGATGAAGCCATTGCTCGCGGTTTAAATGCCAAACGGAATTCTCATAAACTGATACGCCCTCCCCTCGAAAACAAATGTTGTATATTTTTTCTCGACTCTGCCTCTAACGGTATTTGAAAATATCCCAGTGGCAAATCTGTCGAACTGAAAAATCGCTTTCCTTCAAATTTTTGTAATATGTCATCCATGTTCGGGGGGCCATCTACCTCCGAGAGAATCACTTCATTTATGAATCTGCCATCCAAGCAAAGGCGAATGTCGCCGTTAGTTTTTTCTACCACCCGCAAAGGACTACAGAATTCGGCTGTCGATTTTTCTAATATTTTCATGTCTAACAACTTTTCAATCGTCGCGCGTACTTTTGGTATCTTAGCTAATGGGATTGGATAATTTCTATGAACAAATGAGTTTTTATTTTTTAATCTAATTATATGCTCGTAATTATTAATACGTCCCGGATTTTCTGAAAACACTTCGTTATGCTTCTGTAGTAATGCATACAGTTTATTTTTTTCTTGATTTGTGATATTCTTTAAATGACTTATCGAGTCCCAAGTTTCTTTATCTTTATTTTTATTTTCTCGATCCCCCACCCCGATGCTCGAAACTCGTTTTGATGCATCGTTTTCATCGACATTATTCGTAAATTTAACTTCCGGTTTAAAAATTATTTCGTTATTTATTTTCATTGTCCTATCCGTGTATTTTATTTCGACCTCATTTTGTCCACACCAATTCGTCCCTAATATTATGTCATAGCACAAATCCGGAATTACCAGCAAGCATGTTTCAATGTTTTGATTTCCAATTCTTATTTTTGTCATTATCTGTTTTTTATGATTACTGATTTACCCCTAAAAGGTCCCGATAATTTGATATTTGAAACTGGAAGTGTTAATAAACCCTTACATTTTAATTTGTCATAAAACTTTTCCGATATTCCTTCAATTTGAGCTCCCGTATCTATTACTACATCTATTTTTTCCTCAACTATTTTTGCTTTTAACACTGGACACTTAAATTTTATTTGCTTTTCCTTAATTTCCCTTTTAAAAATTTCCTTCCCCTCAATGTCGAAGACTAGGTCCTCAGTAATATTACAAATCCAGCGTCAGATATTTGGACCCACCTTACTGTCGCTCTCTAGTTTAAATCTAACATTTTATCCATATCACTGTTTGTATCGTCTTCTTCGTCATACCGCTCTTCTTCCTCTTCGGTTACTATCTCAACTTTCGTTCTAAAATTTCCCTCTCCTCGCCTTTCATTTCTACTATAATATGTCCGTCTCTCGTAATTTGTCTGTTTATTAAATTCATCTCGTCTTTCATTTCTATCTTGCCTTCTTTTTCCCTCATAAGTTTGCCCTTGTCTGTCATCATAATATTTTCTCCGTCTTTCATCTACGTCTTGTCTCTTTCTGTCTCTATTCTCCGCTCGCCAATCTTCCTGTCTACTCTTGTCTTCGTCACCCCTACCTCTATCTTCATACTGTCTCGCATTATCTCTCTTATTTTGTTCACTTCTTTCTCGCCATCTCCAATTCTCTTCGTATCTATTCTTTCTTTCTCCTTCCTCTATCGATTCTCTCTTTTCCCCTCTATCCTCATATCTATTCTGCTCTTTATATTGATTTCCCCCTATGCCAAATCGTTGGGTATGATTTTGTTTAAATTCGCGTTCAGTATTATCTAGCCATGCCAACGCCTTCACTATTTGACTGGTATCATTTAATCTTATTGCCGCTAATGTTTCTTGCACTTTTCTTGGCAATTGACGAACTATTGCATAATTTCGTGAGTAATCGGTCAGGGGTGGATCTATGTAGTTTGCTTCTTTAACTTGATAATAAAAATATTGTACAAATGATTCGTCTTTTTTCGAAAATTTCCTATTTCTCCACTCGTTTGTTTTTTCGGCCCGGTATTCTATCGTGTCAAATTCACTCTTGAAATCAGATTCAAATTCGCAGAAATTCTCCCATTTATCACTATTCGCGGAGTACCATGCTTTGGCTCTACCTTTTAATGCTCTTCTAATTATTACTGGAAAACATTTGTGAGGAATTTTCTTTAAATCAAAATATTCTTTTAACTCGATTAAAAATTCCACCGGATTATTTTGAAATTCATCCACAAACTCCGGCATTGGTATATCTACTTTTATATTATATCCCGCATTATTGTTTTGATTACTATTATTATGGTTTGTTTGCGAATTATTCTTTCGTATTATCTCCGCACTAGCTTCTATATTTGTCATTATATTTTTAATGCCCTTGAATATATCTGTTAATTCATTCATGAATTTTCCCGTTTGTTCTAACATTTCAAATTTTACCTCATCGTTATTTTCTTTTATCGAACTCTTATTTAATTTACTAATTCGATTTCGATCATCAAGTGCATCATTTTTATCACTATCATTTGTTTCGGGCGCCATATAAAACATTTCCTGTCTGCCCTTTGGCGGGGAATGTTCCACAGGCATGATTGGAAACCAAAAGAGAGGGTAATTAAAGAAAATAAATTAAATTATAATTAAACAATCAAATCACTTTATTAACAGATCTAAACTTTCAGAAGAAATCGTTAATTATCGCGATATGATGCTCTCAATATTCGAACTCGGATTAGAAGATTCTTTGAATAATTACACAGGTCAACAAAAAAGACTAACTTTTTTTTTATGAGATATCGGAATGGTTTCCGATGTATTTTTGGACGCTGAACACGATCCCGACTTCCAAAATTGCCCATCACGTCAGGATTTCGAGAAAAGTGGGGGTAAAGACCCCAAAAACGCTTTTTTGAGGATTTTCAACATTTTTTTTCTCTTTAACCTGACGTGCTAGAGACTTCCACAAGGTCTTAAATTAAAGCTTGTAATGTGCACTAGAAGACCCATATCAATAAAATAAAAAAAATTAGAAGTTTTTTTAAAAAATGGGGTTGAAGGCACCAAAAAGGTGGGTTTTTCGATTGCTTTAATAGACTTCATGCTATTGCTTGGATTCGCTTAAAATTTGTTACTCGGGGTTTTTGGAGTCGTAGATTACGAATCCAAAATTAGTTTTTAAAAATTTAAAATGTCGGAACCAAGATGGCAGATATAAAAATTAAGAATTTCTTGGATTCGCTTAAAAGTTTGTTACTTCAGGGTTTTTGCGATCGCTGATTACGAATTTGCCATTTTGAATGTTTGAAAACTAATATCGGATTTGTAATCAGCGACCCCAAAAACCCTAAGTAACCATTTTTAATCGAATCCAAGCAATTGCAAGAAGTCTATTAAAGCAATCCAAAAACACACATTTTTTAGTGTCTTCAACCCCATTTTTTAAAAAAAATCTTAATTTTTTTTTATTTTATGGATATGGGTCTTGTAGTGCACATTACAAGCTTTAATTTAAGACCTTGTGGAAGTCTCTAGCACGTCAGGTTAAAGAGAAAAAAAATGTTGAAAATCCTCAAAAAAGCGTTTTTGGGGTCTTTACCCCCACTTTTCTCAAAATCCTGACGTGATGGGCAATTTTGGAAGTCGGGATCGTGTTCAGCGTCCAAAAATACATCGGAAACCATTCCTATATCTCATGAAAAAAATGTTAGTCTTTTTTTGTTGACCTGTGTTATGTGATCAATTTACAAACTCTATAGAGAATAAATAATAATACACATCAACATTCACATTCAATGGAGGGGATTAGGCCATTAATCCTTAATCCTCATTCATTACCCGAACATACATACACATACAAATTATAACATCGACTTATCATAAAATCCTCCGTGGAACTGCAACCTGCGTTGTCCTCCTTGATGATTAATCCAAGATCCAGATCTCTTTATTTTAGGTAGATCAAATAACTCGTAATCCAGAGTGTAGGCGTCCCCACACTCAGTCATCCAGTAATTCACAAGACACAGAGACTATTTTACTTTAAAAGACAGTATTGTCGACAGTATACTTCTCGCTGGTCCGACTGACCAAAAGCGACTAATCATACCTCTATATTTTATTATCTCCGATCCATTCCTATGACTCATCAGCACCGAGGTAAATACGAATATTTCCCTCGTTATACCATTACAATAGTGTAAATATTAAAAATATAATTCTTTAAAGTTAGAGATTTTTTGTGAAAATTGCGATTTTGAAATCTGGAATTCAAGCGTACGCCAATTGAAGAAAAATTTTTTTTAAGTTTTGATAGTTGCACAATAAAAAGTACAAATTTAATTCTTTAATTCTAGACCAAAATCATTCACATACATATATATTAAGTATTTTCTTCAAATTCTATAAAAATAATATCTCTTGCTCTAAATTTTTCGAAGAATATAAATTGCAAATTCGTCGTTGTCATTCACTTGTTCTATCAAATAACCACACTTTTGAAAAATATAGAACCTCTTCATCTTAGAAAATTTAAGATATTTACATGAAATTTATCCCTCTTCTTATAGTTTTATAAATTTTAACTCTATCATTATTCCTTAATTTCTTTCCAGGTGACTATTTTTTATTTTACAATAACAAAAAGGTGCATATTTTTCAAAAGTGTGGTTAATTGATAAATCAAGTGAACGGAAATGACGAATTCGCAATTAATATTTTTTTAAACATTTCGAGAGCAGTTATTTTTATAGAATTTGAAAAAAATACTTAATATATGTAAATTATTTTGGTCTAGAATTAAAGAATGGAATTTATACTTGATATTGTGCAACTATCAAATCTTAAAAAAAAATTTCTTCAATTGGCGTGCGCTTGAATTCCAGATTTCAAAATCGCAATTTTCACAAAAAATCTCTAACTTTAAAGAATTATATTTTTAA